CTCGTACCCCCGCCCGGCGCCCACCCGTGCTGCCGCAGGGGCCCAGAGCCCTCCGCGCTGCTCGCGCCCCCATCCGAAAGGACCCAATCGGACCGGGTTGTGTAGGCGCTCCCAGAACCAACGCGGGAGCTCCCCTTGCTGCTTCGGCAAGAACTGCTCCAAAGTGACAATGTTGGTATCGTGTCCCATTCCCAGACCTCAGCAGGTACTTGGTTCAGGTACGGTAAAAAAGGCCTGTTAATTCCAGCTGCTTTGGAGAGAGGAAGAGAAAAGAGGAATTTGTGCCAAAAGGAGAAGAGGAGTCAGTCAGGGAAAAAGAACTGTCACGCTGACTCTTCAGGGGCATTTTCACAGGTCAGAGCAGGGGGAGGTTGTGCAAACCCCCGCAGCAGTGGACAAAGTGCCCTGCCGCACGCAGAGTCCCCGTCCCACTGCCGGGGTGGAGGAAGTTCATGGGGTCCAGGGTGCTGGGAAGGGCACCAAGATTTCTGCATCCCAAGTCACATATCCCTGGCACTAAGGAAGAAACAGGTGGGAGCTCCTAGGATGACAACAGACACTGCAAAACACGAGCATGGTGTGTGAATTATTCAAATACTCGTAAACCGCAGCAAAGCCACCGGGTTGCTGGGCAAGGCCCAGCTCGGCTCTGCTGGAGGCTCCGCACACCCCAGAGGCACTTCCTGCAGGGATGCCCTCGTTTGCACCGCTTTTCAAAGCACTCATAAAACACTAACTGCCCTTTTTTGCATGATTCGTACCACCAGTTCAAAGTACTTTCTTCCTGTTGCGCCCATGATCACGCTGACTTGTGGAGGGGCTGCTTGCAGCGGCAATGCTAAGCAAGGCCACCAGCAGCCCCTGCGAGCAGTGCCGCAACCGCCCCGCCAGCTCCTCTGCCTCCCCCGAGCAGGCAGATACCTGCGGAGGCGACGCGGTTTACGGCGCCGCTTCTCGGCCAGTCTCGCCGGGCTGCGGCGGGACGGGGCCGCGCGCGGTGCCCGCGCGGGTCTGCGCTTCCCGCACCGCTGGGCCATCCGCACGGACTGCCCGCACGAGCAGGGTCACCACCGTCCCCAGCAAGGAGGGAATATCCCAAACATCCACCTCCTGGAAACCCATCTAGAAGCAGCACTTTGCTCTTATTGTCTATTTAGGTAAGATACGTTATTCTAGAAGCAGTTTTGCGATGAGATCACCATGTAAATTCAAAGAAGTCAGGGTGTTTCTTTTGTCTTTTCTGAAAACGCTCCCTGTGAGCTCTTCATTTTGCCATTATTTGCAGATCTGTTTCTAAAATTGTTAAAAGTTAATGGCTTTTCTGGTGTGTGTTTATTTGGCCCTGCATTCTATTTTTTGAAAGTCTTTAAACATATTAATCTTAAATCTTAATACATGGTTGAACAGGAAAAATATTTACTGCAAATGCACTAAAGATGTGCAGAGAGTATTTTATGTGCAGTTGCTATCTTATAAATATTAAAGTGTGACTTTCCTGAGCATTTCAGGATTGTTTTACAAGTTTCATTAAAGCCAAGTTAAATCCTCTTCATAAAATTGCTTTCCACAGTTTAGGAGTCAGCATCAGGATCAGCTTTCAGCTGCAGCCCCGAGAGTTAAATTCTAGCACAGTAAAATAAGCAGAGTTTATGGGGATGGAAAAAAAATAAGGGCAAAAACTACACAAATGTATAACTTGGGGATGAAAGCTAAGCTGTAGCTGTGGTTACCAAATCAGCAGGGCGGGCAGCAGAGCGGAGCCCCAGGCCCGGGGCTGCCGGCGCCCACCGGGGCCTTGGGCGGCCGTGCCGGAACCAAGGGTTTCTGCTGCTGCAAGCCGGGGTGCGCCCGGGCCATTCCGTTGTCTGTGCCCGTCAAACACTAATGTCTTTCTGTTTAACATTCTAGGATCTTTTTTCCTATTAAGCCTGCAGTTAAGAATTGTAACGCGTGTAACGCCTTACTTTCTGTCATGCAGAACAGCAGTAAAATACATCGCTGATGTGGATTCTTCTGAAAGTCGCGCGGTTTAAATCCGCTGCTTTGCGCGGCGGGTGGGCAGCATCAGCTGCTTCCCGGGCTGCCTGCGGAGCCGGCCGGAGCCGGGAGCACAGGAGCCGGAGCGCCCGGCCCGCCGCAGCGCCGGGTCCACCGCAGCCGCAGACACGGACAGAGCCGGGTTACGGCGGGACGACGAGCGAGGCATAAAGGAGGCATCAGTAAAATGTTTCCTATAGCTTTATGAGAGTCAGCACTTCGTTCTTTGTTTTACAAACATTTTCCTCACACAAATCAATTTTTTAAACAAAGATTAAAAATTGAGAGTTGTTTTTTATGTCTATTCTTAATGCATTTTATAAAAATAAATGAAACTTGGAAACATCCTAAAATTCTGCACATATGTTTTTATTGATTTTAAACAGAGCTTGATACAACAGATGTAAAATGAATAATTGTGACATACAACAGATGAAAAATGAATAATACTCATTTTTCTAATATAAAATAAAAATGAAAAAAAGTCAAACGAGGTATAATTCAATGTTTGCAGTATTGATTTTTTTTTTCAATCTAAATAGGGAATTAAAACTCCTACCATTATCTGACCTTCTCTTCGCTGCCCACTACGGTGATGGAGGTCCCTGGTGAGCTGGGGGGTCCTGGCTATAAAAACACCCATGAGCCAATCGGCCCCATCCGCGTTTAGCTGGGAAATGGGCTGTTTGCTCCCGCGGCTGTTCGTGCGTTCGGGATGGGGGCAGGATCAGTGATGTGCAACATTGCATTGCATAGTTTGCAGTGTGGCATGGAAATTTTAATAGAGGAGCCCATTTACAAGGTTTTCAAGATATTTTTCTCTATCCCATAGTGAAAACTCAGCTTGCCTCTGGTATGCACATCCCAAGCAGCTTCTTCATTAAGAATATTTTAGAAGGGCAGCTTTGGGTTTGCTCTGAACTTAGGCACATGTGAGGCACTTCCAAGGAAATGGAGGCAGCTGCTATTGCACATTCGGAGCTGGG